TCTCTCTCTCTCTCTCTCTCTCTCTCTCTCTCTCTCTCTCTCTCTCTCTCTTATCGGGTCATTCATTAGGATCAAGTTCCAGACACAATTAGCCTGTAACTCCAGTGTACTGCGGCTTGAAAGAAAGAAAAAAGGTCGAAGGAAGGAGATTGCTAAAGAAAACGTATGCTTACTCACTCATTTGAGCTTAAAATCTGGTGAGGAAAGACAAGCGCTTGCTTAAGTGCAAGTCTGTATTTATCTTCGTTCCAGCTTTGTGTTCGCCAGGGGTCTAAATGAGCGGGCGACATTCCCCCTCAAGAGGTCGGCGGTGGACTCGACAAATTGCTTGATTGGCGTGTTTATTTTTAGATAAAGGGTTTGACTATCGGATCGAAACAATTACTGCTGGATGGCAGGGTTAACTAGATGCTTCGGTTAGAACTGCTTGGTTCAAGTAGTTTGTTACGGTTCATTTAGCCGTGCCCTTATCCGCATGGACGACTGTTTCATTAAGGTAACGGCATCATTACGGGATGTGACTTCCTTTTGAACGTTCTGAACACAGGGGACAGGCGGCTAGGGGGAAATAAGGGTACGGTCATGTTGAACGTGCTGCGACGATTGAGGAAAGATCGTGATCGACTGACTTTGAATAGATTAATCGCTCGTAGAACTCAATAATAAACAGGTTGGGTCTAAAGGTCATTTAATTTTGTGCTGGAAAGCAGACAGAAAGGCGAACAGGCGGACAGATTGATCGAAAGACAGACAGATGGACGGACGGATGGACGGACGACGGACGACGGACGGACAGATTCAGATGGATGAACAGACTTATAGACAGTCAAAATCAGATGTCTGGGATGTAGCTATTAGGCCCCTCGTTGTCGCACACGGGAGAGATGAATTTTATCGAGTATCTCTGTTTTTGTGCAGAGACATTGAGACGTTGTATCCTTGTCAGACTGATAAGCCGGCCTCCTTAATTGTTTAAGCAGTGTCGACAGGGGCCTACAATGTATACAATTACATTCAGGGGCGAAGGCTGACTTGTTTGACAGGGTAATCAAAGTGTAACGGGACCAGATATAGATCTATATGGCCTGTAGATATCA